TTTTATAAGCAATGAGTCTTGTGCTTTTACTCTAATATTAACTCAGTGGGAAAACATTTTCTTTCTTGTGAAAATTCACTGCACTCCCAAGTTTTAAAAAAACTTTAGAACCAAGAGTCAAATGTGAATGCTCACCCTAACTCCATGACCTTATTAGCTGAACCTCGTCACAGTACTGAACCTCTTTGGCCTCAATATTTTTCATATTTAAAGTAGGACTAAAACCAATTCTTATTTCATAATAAAATGATGTATGTGAGTGTACCTTACAATGCTATTATGAAAACTAATGATTTATCACTTAATTTAACTGAGAGGTTAGAAATAGGTTACAAATTGATAGTTTTCTAAAATTCAAATTTTGTGTGAATAAACATTAATTATTCAAATGATATTTCCTGTATATGCCACCATATCAACATGCATATAGTAGCATAACTGGGCTTTATTTTTAAGTGTAAGTGGTTTTCTCAAGGTTGCTAAAGCTTTTTTCTGCTCTGGTAAGACTGTGGGTCAAAAGGATTATTTCTCATATGACCACTTTTCTTATTTGAATACTGACAAGTTTGTAGGACTCAGCATTTTAAATGGATTTGAATATTGACTGGAAACCAACAGCAGTAATTGTATCCTATTTGATATTGGGAAAAGCTGAAAGCTGTGGGCATTCTGCAAAGATTTAGGCAGTAGTGGTTACAATTTAGAGTCTTTTCTAAAGATCTCTTCTAAAGAGTGCATGCCACATTGCCAAGACAATTTTCCTTATGTTGATACTTTCTGTTTTTTAGTTCTATGTTTAAAGCAATAAGATAGATTACCCAGAGGATATTTGTCTTCTGTTGATTAATATTTTCATGTAATCCTAAGGCCATTATCACTAACCCTCCATGCAGATGCCCTTCATCTTCTGTTACTAACACGAGGTGTGAAGTCACTATTCTTTTGATCTAGAATAATGCTCACAGGAACAGATTCTGCTGATGACAATAGGAGGAATATTTAACAACATCCAGGGAAAAATTTCTTTGGAGCAAGGTATAAGAAAAATGGGTTCTTATGGGTTTAAAATGTATTTTCTCTTTGGTTTTAACATGTCCAAATTCCAAAACAGTGACTGGGCAAAATAGTCCTTGGTAAGGTTTGATGCACAGCTCAAACAATAGGCATACTTCTTTTATCCTTGTTATGACCAGGGAGCAAATCCACACAAGTACACAGCCTCTGAATCTTTATAAGTCCTTTCATTTCAAAGAAAATTGACAAACCACCCTCGCAAGGCTTTAAAACTAAATGCAATTGCAACTAAATGTAATTTTCCCTTTATGATAATATATTTTCTCCAATTTTAATATCAGGTGTACCCAGATTAAGCAGAATGATTTTGAAGTATTTCTTCTTTTTCCATTGCTATAAGATTTGGCATGATCTGTTTTTTGAAATTATCTTTTATTTTTATTTATAAATATTAGTTGTCTACTTTTTGAGACTTTAATTGATGACTCTATGCTGAACCTGAGTCAAAGCATTCTGTTGTACTCATACTCTTTATTTGATGATGTGAATGTTTCTTTCTTTGCATTACTATTATTATTGTTGCTTAATACTTCGTTGCAGCAATCGTCTGATTTCTTTTCTGAATGTATTTATCTTCATTCATTCTTTTTTTTTTTAATCTTTGTTCATTCTTTATGAGGTTTTTGTTTCTAATCCTTATCTTAAACATTGGTATTGTTGGTAAATTTTAAGACTTTAATTCTGTGAAGGCAAAAAGTGGAAACCTAATAATCACATGTATATGTAAAAGTAAAAAAAAAAAACTACATAAAACTAAATCATGCTCTGAAAATAGGAGCCCCATTTTATCTGTCCTCTTTTGTAAGATTAGATATCTGGAAAAGTATTATGATAATAATAAGTATGATAAAGATATACTAGCTCTGTTCTTACCTATGTTTAATAAGAAAGAATACTGTCACTTTTGTACTCTTTTTCCAGATGGAAAATCTGCATCTTAAGTTTTATTTATGATAATATATAACTTATTACATATTTATATATATACACATTTTTTTTGAGACAAAGCCTCAAGCTGTGGCCCTGGGTAGTAGAGTGCTATGGCATCACAGCTCACAGCAACCTCCAACTCCTTAAGCGATTCTCTTGCCTCAGCTTCCCAAGTAGCAGGGACTACAGGCACCCACCACAATGCCCAGACAATTTTTGGTTGTAATTGTCATTGTTGTTTGGCAGGGCCCGGCTGGATTTGAACCCACCAGCTCTGGTGTATGTGGCTGGCACCTTAGCCACTTGAGCTACAGGCACTGAGTCAACTTATTTTATATTTTAAGGTTACTATTGGGAATACCAGTGGGTGGTAACAAAACGAACAGTAAGCTGCCATTCACTTACCTAAGCTTAAGAATGTTAGCGAATTGATTACATAAACATACCATTTAACAATTCATTCTCTATCATTCTGATTATATTTGGAGCCTGTAACTCCCACTGGTAGTCTAGATAGGAAGAGTGTTCATGAAAAGCTCATACATTCACTTACATATATGCACAACTCTTTGAGGTATTTGAGCTACTTCTAGAAACTTCCAAAATCTCTTTCAACCTGAAATATTTGGGTCTGATAAGTTCAATTTAACAGATATTTCTTGAATACCTAATATATGTCATTATTATTAGTTATAAGTATTTTATATCTCTGATTAATTGACTCTATTATTTTATATCTCTGATTAATTGACTCTATTATTAAATGTTCTTCTTCATCTCTGGTATCAGTTTTTTGTCTTATATTCTACTTTGTCTAATATCAATATAGCTACTCTGGCTCTCTTAAGGTTATTATTTGCACTAATTTTTAAAGAAAAATCAGAGGATTTTCAGAAAAAAATGATGCCCCGCAACATCTTATATACCAATATATGCATAATGGGAGTACAAAACAATAAGAGAAAAGAAAAGGGACAAAATACTTTGAAAAAATAATGGCATACAACTTTCAAAAGCTGTTGAAAAACATTCCTTTATACATTTAAGGAGCTCAACAAATTCCAAGAAGGATAAGCACAAAGTGATCCATACCTACGCATTTAAATTTGAACACCCAAATCCAAAGGCAAAGATAAAATCTTGAAAACAGAAAGAGAAAAACAACTTATCAATGAAATGGTAACTATGTCAGATTAAGTTCTGACTTGTGATCAGAAACAATTGTCACTATAGGCATGGTTATTATATTTAAAATACTGAAAGAAAATAACGATTAGTCAAATAATCTAGAAAATATTCTTTCAAATTGAAATAGTTTCACTGCCGTGAAAATCCTTTATGCTGTATTTATGGATTTCTTCCTCTCCCAACCCCCAAAACTACTAATCTTTTTAGTGTTTTACTTTTTCCAGAATGTCATGCAGTAGGAATATACAGCACACAGCCTTTTCAGATTGGGTTCTTTCTCTTAGTAATCTGCATTTAAGTTTCTCCCAAGTCTTTTTTGCAGCTTGATAGCTCATTTCTTTTCAATATTGAATAATACGTTATTGTCCAGATGTACTAAAGTTTATCCATTCAACAACTGAAGGATAACTTGTTTGCTTCCAAGTTTTAACAATTATAAATAACAATTTATAAACAAAATAACAATTATAAATAAAACTACTCTGAGGATCAATGTGTGAATATAAGTGTTCAGTGCTCTTCAGGTACCATCCAGTATAACACAACTGCTGCATCCTATGGTAACAGTACGTTTAGTTGTGTAAGACACAACCAAACTGTTTTCCACAGTAGCTGTAACATTTTGCATTCCTACCAGCAATAAAGGTGACTTTCTGTTGCTGCATACGCTCACTGGCCTTTGAGACTGTCAGTGTTTTGGATTTGCCATTCTTGCAAGTATGTAGTGGTATCTTGTTTTAATTTACAGTTTCCTAATGGCAAATGTTGAAAGTCTTTGCAAATACTTACTTATAATCTACATATCTTCTTTGGTGAGATGTCTGTTCAAGTCTTTTGCACATTTTTAAATTGAGTTGCTTTATTTTCATTGTTGAATCTTGAAAGATCTTTCTCTCTTTTCTTTTATTTTTTTTTTTTGTTGGGGATTCATTGATTGCATGTGTTAGGTAAAGTCCCTCTCATAATTGTGACCCACCCCCCAAAAGTGACCCTGCACCTCCCTCCCTCCTTCCCTCTCTCTGCTATCCTCTTCTCCAGCCCCTTCCCTCCTTTCCTCTCTCTGCTCTCCCCTTCCCCCACTTCCCACCATGTACTAGGTCATCAGCTGTCCTCATATGAGAATTGAGTACATAGGATTCTTGCTTCTCCTTTCTTGTGATGCTTTACTAAGAATAATGTGTTCTATTTCCATCTGGGTTAATATAAAGGATATAAAGTCTCCATCTCTTTTAATGGCTGAATAGTATTCCATGGTATACATATACCACAGCTTGTTAATCCATTCCCGGGTTGGTGGGCACTTAGGCTGTTTCCATATTTTGGCAATTGTAAATTGAGCTGCAATAAAAAGTCTAGTGCAATTGTCTTTATGGTAAAGGATTTTTTTTCCTTCTGGGTATATGCCTAGTAAGGTGATTTCAGGGTCAAATGGGAAGTCTAGCTTGAGTTCTTTAAGGGTTCGCCATACTTCCTTCCAAAAAGGTTGTATTAGTTTGCAGTACCACCAGCAGTGTAAAAGTGTTCCCTTCTCTCCACATCCAGCCCATATCTGCAGTTTTGAGATTTGTGATGTGAGCCATTCTCACTGGGGTAGATACCTCAGGTGGCTTTGTTTTGCATTTCTCTAATAATTAAGGATGATGAGCATTTTTTCATATGTTTGTTAGCCATTCATCTGCCTTATATTTTGGATAATAATCCTTTATCTGATATGTTTTTTGCAAATATTTCTCTCAGACTGGCTTGTCTTCTCATGCTCTTGACATTGTCTTTCACAGAAGTTTTTAATTGTTAAAAAGTCCAGCTGAGCCGAGACTAGAGTCACATCTTGACACAACCCTTGTCCTGGTGTGCTGTACTAGAGTCCTCGAAGAGAATCTGCTGGTCTTGATTCACTAGCAGGGGAAATCAGTGCCCCTGTTAGTGCCCAGATCAGTAACATTCCTTTTTTATTAAAAAAAAAAAAATTCAGCTTAGACCTTTTTTCTCATACATCATGTCTTTTTTGTTGTATCTACAGAGCCATTGTCATACCTGAGAGCATCAATATTTTTTCCTATTATCTTCAGGTAGCTTTATAGTTTTGAGCTTCACATTGAGGTCTATAATCTATTTCGAGTTAATTTTTGTGAAAGATATAAGGTATCTGCCTAGACTTTTTGTTTCTTCTTCTTTTTCTTTTTTTTTTAACATGTGAATATCCAGTTGCTCTCTCAGTATTTTCTTTTTCTTTTCTTTTCTTTCTTTTTTTTTTGTATGAAATATCTTTATTGGTAGGGGGAGGGAGGCTGCAGACAGCATCAAGGAGGAGAGAGAGATAAGGAGAGAGCAGGGAAGAGGAGATAGAGAGTGGAGAAGAGCGAGGGGGAAGAGGAGGAAGGCAGAGAGCAGAGAAGGAAGATAGAAGGTGAGAGAGAGAGAGAGAGAGAGAGCACTCAGTATTTTCTGAAAAGACTGTTTGCTCCATTGTGTTCCCTTTGCATCTTTGTCACAGACCAGTTGACTATTATTTATGTGAGTCTATTTCTGAGCTTTGTATTCTGCTCCATTGATACATGGCTATCCTTTCACCAATATTATGCTTTCTTTATTACTGCAGCTTTATAGTGAGTTTTAAAGTTGAAGAGTGTCAGTATTCTAACTTTGTTCTTTGTCTTGAATTCTGATTTGGCTATTCTGGATATTTTGCCTTTCTGTATAAACTTCATATTCAGCTGGCCAATATACATGAAATAACTTCCTAGGATTGTGATTAAGATTTGTTGAATCTAAAGATCAATTTGAAAACTAAATTCTTGAAAATATTGTGTCTTCCTACTCCTAAATTCCCTAGTAATTTAGTTCTTCTTTGATCTCTTTCATCAGAATTTGATAGTTTAGTTCTAGACGAAGTTGGAATGGAATATTTAATTGGTTTTTTATTGTTGAATCACCTTGAGATAAATTCCACTTGATTATGTTGTACAATTCTTACTACATACCATCAAATTGAGTTTGCTAATACTTTGTTGAGATTTCCTTTTAATTTCAGATTAATATGAGGGTACAAATGTTTTCATTTCTGAGGTAAAGTTCAAGTTGTAGTTGAGCCCTTCACCTAAGAAACATGCTGAACAGCCTCACATTATTACATTAGGTGAGATCCCACCCATCACCCTCCTTCATACCCCTCCTTTCTTCTTCATCTCCCTTCCCCCTTGCTAAACTATACTTATGCTTTTTCTTTAGTGTGGGTGTGCGTTAGGGGTGTAGTTGTTTCTGTATTGGTTTCATATTAGTATTGAATATATTGGATAATTTTTTTTTCATTCTTGAGATACTTTACTAAGAAGAATGTGTTTCAGCTCTATCCAGGTAAACACAAAAGTTGTAAAGTCTCCATCTTTCCTTATGACTAAATAGTACTGCAGTGTATACATATGCCATATTGTTGAGAATTTTTGCATGTGTGTTCATAGAGACATTGATCTGTAGTTTTCCTTTTATTGTAATGTCTTTGTAGTATTAGGATAATGCTGACCCTATCAGCATTTGATAATAATGATGAATGAGTTAGAAAGCATTCTGTCTGCATCTATCTTCTAGAAGAGATTATAGAGAAACTATATAGTTCATTCCTTAGTGTTTGTTAGAATTCACCTGTGAACTCCTTTGGGCCTGGTGATTTTTGTTTTGAAAAGTTGTTAATGATTGATTTAATTTCTTTAATATTGAAGTCCTATTTAGATTACCTGTTTCTTCTTTGAATTGTGACATTTTTTGTCTTTCAAGAAAATAATCCATTTTATGTAGGTTACCAATTTTCTCTGCATAGAGTTATTTAATGTGTTCCCTTACTATCCTTTTAATGCCCATGGAATTTGTACTGATGTTCTCACTTTGAATTCTGAGACCAGAACTTTTTGTTTTCTTTTTTCTTAGATAGCTTAGCTAAGAGCTTATCAATTTTATTGATATTTTTAAAACACCAGCTTTTGGTTTTGTTGATTTACTCTATTGGTTTCCTATTTTCAATTTTACTGATTTCTTCTCTGATTTTTTTTATTCTTTCTTCTGCTTGCTTGCTCTTCTTTTTCTAATTTTCAAAGGTGGCAGCTTACAGTATTGATTTTAGATTTTTCTGCATTTGTAATACATAATGCCATAAATTTCCCTCTTAGCACTGCTTTCACTGAAACTTATACATTTTGACAGGCTGTATTTTCAATTTCACTTAGTTTCAGTTTCTCTTCATATTTCTTCTTTTACCCATCTTCACTTTGTTGTTTAATTTTCAGGCATTTTGGAATTGTTAGCTATCTTCCTATTGTTGATTTATAGTCTAATTCTATTGTGCTTTGAGGTAAGACATTATATGATTTCTATTCTTTAAACTTGTGAAGCTGTGTTTCATGGTTTAGGATGTAGTCTACCTTGGTGAATATTCCATGTCTGTTTGAGAAGAATGTATGATCTCTATTGTTGAATGAAGTACTCTACTATAACAAGTCAATTGATAGCACTATTGAATTTAACTATATCCTTACTGATTTTATGACTTCTAAATTTGTCCACTTCTGAGAGAGGGGTATTCAAATCTTCAATTATAATAGCGGATTAATCTATATCTCCTTGCAATTCTGTCAGTTTTTACCTCATGTATTTTGTCACTCCATTGTTAAGCCCACACACATTAAGGATTACTATGTCTCCTTGGAGTATTGACCACTTTATTATTACATAATGACCCTCTGTATCTCTGTCCCCATCCACTGAGTTGCTGTCTGCTCTATCTAAAATTAACATAGTGATTGTTACTCTGTTTTTGATTAGTGTTTGCATGATAAATCTTTCTCTAACCCTTTACTTTTAATCAATTCATGGCTTTATATTCCGTGTGTTTTCTTATAGACAGCATAGACAGCATATAGTCATGCCTTGTTTTTCAACCAACTCTGAAAAGCTTTGTCTTTCAATTGATGAATTTATATCATTAACATTTAAGATTATTATTGATGTACTTGGATTGATATCTGCCATATCTGTTACTATTTTCTAATATTATTTTCTTCTGTACTTTATCTGCCTTCTTGGTTGTAATTGAGCATTTCATATCATTTTTTCTCTACCTTATTAACATATTTACATGGATATTACACTACTCATTTTACTTTTTGAGCCATTTCTCTAGAGTTTCCCTACAGTTATAACCAATTCAAGTATAATTCCAAATAGCAGAACAGATATTAAAGTAATAGAAGTGAACAGAGACAAAAAGAGGGCATTATATAATCAAGTGGTCAGTATTCTAGGAAGACATAGTCAATCTTAATGTATATGGGCTAAACAATAAAGTGGCAAAATACATGAGGTAAAAACTGATAGAACTTCAAGGAGATATGGATTAATCCCCTATTATAGTTAGAGAACTGAACACCTCTCTGTCAGGAGTGGACATATTTAGAAGACATAAAATAAGTAAGAATATAGTTGAACTCAACAGTATCATCAGTCATCTGGATGTAATGGAGATCACTCACAAGGAGGACAAGGACCTAATAACAAAACATTGCAATTCCTCTCTATAGTCCTGTGAGTCACTGCTATTATTCATTTCACTTATATGTAAATATACATTTATATACATCTATATAAAATTATATACATCATTGCTAGGATTATTTTAAACAAACTGTTACCTATTACATTAAGAGTAAGAAAGATATAAATTTTGATTTTTGCCTTCACTTTTTCTCCAGCATTATTCTTCTTTTTATATAGATTCAGGTTTCTGACCTTTATGATTTTTCTTCTATCTGAAGAATGTAATATTTTTTACAAGGCATGTCTACTGAGGAAAAAAAATCTTCAATTTTTGTTTGTCTGAAAAAGTCTTTATTTCTTTTTCCCTTTTGAAAGATAATTTAATACATTTCAGGCCCCCCCCCCAATGCTTTAAATATTTTATTCTTGTCTTGTTTACATGGTTTCTAGGGGGGGTCTGACATAATTCTTATATTTGCTGCACTGCCCCACCACCCCAGATTCTTTAGATTTTTTTGTTTATCTTCGATTTTCTGTGCTTGACTGTGATATGCTTAGGTGTCAGGTTTGTTTTAGGAAAGTGTTATATGTTTGTTTGCTTGTTTGTTTGTTTTGACCTTTCTGGTGCTTGGTGTTTATTCTCTAAGGTTCCTGGATCTTGGTTTGGTTTTTGACATTAGTTGGGATATAATTCTGCATCATTATTGCTTCCTATCTGTTCCTTTCTGTGTTTTCTTCTCCTTCTGCAATTCTCATTGTGCTTATATGCCTTTGTAAATGTCCCATAGTTCCTGAATCTTCTCTCTCTGTTGCTCTTTGTCTTGTCTTTTTCTCTCTGCTATGGAATTTTGGAAGTTTCTATTATACCTCACACTAACAGATTCTTTTCTTAGCCATGTCCAGTCTCCTCAGGAGCTCATCAAAAGCAATGTTTATTTCTTCACTATGTTTTCTGAGTTTTTTTGAGATAGAGTCTCATTCTGTCACCCTGAGTAGTGTACTGTGGTGTCATAGTTCACAGCAACTTCAAACTCCTGGGTTTGAGCAATCCTTTGCCTCTACCTCCAAGTAACTATAGCTGGGACTACAGGCAGCTGCCAGAATGACCAGCTATTTTATTTTATTTTATTTATGTTTAATAGAGACAGAGTCTTGCTATTGCTCAGGCTGGTCTTGAACTCTAGAGCTCAGGCAATCCATGTGCCTCAGCCTCCCAGAGTGCTGAGATTCCAGGCATGAGCCTCTGTGCATGGCACTTCACTATGTTTTTTATTTTTAGAATTTCATTTGTATTTTTTCATAGAATTCTCATCATTGGTTCTATTATTCATCTGTCCTTGCAAGTTGTCTAGTTTTCCCATTAAATCCCTTAGGAGGCTGCTAATCATAACTTCAATATCCCTGCCACATCTGACTCTGAT